ATGCTAAGAACCATTATAATTTTTATAGCCCATATTCTTTCATTCCAATGCACAGCTCCCAAGTAGTTCTCTCCAGATGCTGTAAACCGCAGGGACACTGGACCATATAGACCACACCTTTCAGTGTTACAAGAAATGAAATCTCGAAAATAGCCACTTTCCTAGACAGAAAAGGTTTTTTTTTTGGATGAGGGAAGTGCCAAAGTTACAGGTACACTAGGAAGAACAAGGGAACATTTTGTGATAACTAGAACTAATAAATGATATAAAGATGTGGTCTATATGCTCTAGTGTCCCTGCAGTTTACAGTACATTGGGACAACTACTCAAAAGCTGGGCATTAGAAATGAAGAACATGTGCACAATATCAGGAAGGGCTATAAAAATCATAATGTTTCCATCTCCAAATACTGGAAGTGTCTGTATGAGAGGAGGATATAAAGAAAACAGATTTTATTACTCCTCTGGGACTGTATGAAGTCAACTGGATGCCTTTCACCTTAATCAACGCTCGTACCACCTTTCAGTTATTCATGGAGAGATGCCTGGGGGACTTTAACTTCGGCACAGCCCTCATGTATTTGGATGATATTATCATTTTCTCAAAGACCTTTGAGGACCATATCAGTCATCTTGATCAGGTTCTTACTCAGCTGGTGCAGTATGGGATTAAGTTAAAGCCTGCCAAGTGTCACCTGATGCAGACTTGAATACATAGGTCATGTGGTAGAGGCTGGAGAGGTGTCTCCTGATACAGCCAATATTCAGACAGTGGGAGAGTGGCTGATTCCAAAGACCATCATGGAACTTCCCCTTCCTGGGGCTGGTGGGGTGCTATGAGTATTTCATTCCAAAATTGTCACAGATTGCTGCTCCCCCTCACACAAAAGGGCACAATGGAGCGAACTCCACACAATTAGAGTTCTTTCAAATTTGAACTCTGGGCTCTGGCAGTTCTTTCAGATTGGAACTCTGGGCTCTGGTCTGGGTCATTGAAAAGTTTGGTAAGAATCTAATCTGGGGACAAGAGGACATTTTCACAAACATCAATCAAATGACCTACCTAGAGACAGCTAAATTGCGAGCCTTTGAACAAAGATGGGTAGCCAGATTATCCTGTTTTGATAACATGATTCATTATACGCCTGTATGACAAGAATGTAATGTGGATGCACTGTCCCAACAAGGGGATATGGATTAGTCCTTAAAGAAGTCTAAAGTCGTTACCTCAGGAGTAACATCAGCAAGTTTAATGGATGGGTTGGCTATTCAAAGGAAGCAAAGTTCTCAATCAGTGACTGAGAGCTACCCCTTGAATGAATGGGCTAACTTGCAACAGCAGGATCCTGGCATCTCAGAAATGTGAAGGTTTCTACCAAGGAAGAAATGCAACGTGAGCGAAATAGACTTTCGGGTGCTGAAAAGTAACTGCTCCAGCAGTGGGACTCAAGAAGCACAATGAATTGGTATAGCTTACGGTCCAAATCCTACACAACACAAATGAGCATTTTTGAGCAGGTCCTATGGAGGCCTATGCTAAGTGATACTTCTACTGCTTGGGGTTAGCTGACTGGGTACATTGAGCCTCTCAGGAATGTCAGAAGTGTGGGAAACCACAAAGAATTATTTGACTATGGCTTGAGAGTGGCTGAATCTGCCTCAGGGTGTCGATATGCTCTAGCATTCATTGACCACTTTTCAACGCTTGCTGTTGTGGTCCTCACACAAGAATGAAGTGTTACTAAACCCACAACAGTACAATCACCTGTATATGCAATAAAGCATGCTTGTTATACTAACTGTGGAACCTAAGGGGGTTAATCTTCTGTACTGTGTAAAAAGCCTGTTTTTTCCGGTCTTCTCTGAACCTCCCCTTCTTTTATTGTCCCCAATCCATCTGCCATAGTTAGAGCAGAAATGGTAAGTCTGCACATGCTCTGTTTGGTTTATATTGCTAGAGAGTTTTTTTTGGGGGGAAGAGCACATGTGATCAGCACAAGGTCAATCAGCACTGTCCAGACAGAGGGTCAGGGGTCATGCAGCCTCATAGGACAGTCAGAGGAGAATGAAAAGTCCTCCTGCAACATTAAACGGTGATCGGTTGGACACTGTTAGAAGTCACAAGACTGCTATATACTGCTGAGGAGAAAAGGTATTTATCAGTTTATATTTATTAAAAATAATTACATTTCCTTGTCCTGAGTACTGTGGAAGACTGGATATAGTGAATGCAGGGTCCTGGGTTTAGAAACACTTTAAACAGTTGTCATCATCTAAAATACCTATTCCACCCTTACTTGGTGCCCATCATTCTACCAACGCACCTCACATCTAGAAACTATCCTGAATCAGGATTAAAGCCCACAATAAAACCCTCCAATAGATGACCTCTGATTCCCCGGTCACACCGGTGTGAATTTTCATGAGATTTGATCATTTCAAATTGCATGATAAGTCGCACTCTAGAAGCGGTCAAATTCATGCACTACTTTTTGCAAGTCCAGGTGTGACTTGCATATACAGTTGTGTTCAAAATAATAGCAGTGTTGAAAAAAGTGAATAAAGCTCAAAATCCTTCTAATAGCTTTTATTTCCATCCACACAAATGCATTGGGAACACTACACATTCTATTCCAAATCAAAACATAAAGAAAAATAGATCAAATTTGTGTTGTTCCTCTCCTAAAAAAATTGAAGAAAAGTGAATATTAGACGGTTCAAAAAAATAGCAGTGTTTGTATTCTTCTTTACAAACTCAAACATTCACTATATAAACTGAAAAATGTTTGAAGATTTTGCTTTCCTTTGAATGACTTCATGAATATTTGGTTTGTAGTCGCACTGTTTCTGAGAACTGCTGTACATCTGTGTTGTATGGAGTCACCCAACTTCTGGCCCCTGTGATCAGGTATTCCAGCCCAGGATGATTGGACTACATTCCACAGTTCTTCTCTATTTCTTGGTTTTGCCTCAGAAACTGCATTTTTGATGTCACCCCACAAGTTTTCTATTGGATTAAGATCCGGGGATTGGGCTGGCCACTCCATAACGTCAATCTTGTTGGTCTGGAACCAAGATGTTGCACGTTTACTGGTGTGTTTGGGGTCGTTGTCTTGTTGGAACACCCATTTCAAGGGCATTTCCTCTTCAGCATAAGGCAGCATGACCTCTTCAAGTATTCTTATGTATTCAGACTGATCCATAATCCCTGGTATGCGATAAATAGGCCCAACACCGTAGTATGAGAAACATCCCCATATCATGATGCTTGCACCACCATGCTTCACTGTCTTCACAGTGTACTGTGGCTTGAATTCAGTGTTTGGGGGTCGCCTGACAAACTGTCTCCGGCCACTAGACCCAAAAAGAACAATCTTACTTTCATCAGTCCACAAAATGTTGCGCCATTTCTCTTTAGGACAGTCAATGTGCTCTTTGGCAAATTGTAACCTCTTCAGCACATGTCTTTTTTTCAACAGTGGGACTTTGCGGGGACTTCTTGCAGATAGCTTGGCTTCACATAGGCGTCTTCTAATTGTAACAGTCCTCACAGGGAACTTTACACCTTCTTTCATCTTCCTGGAGCTGATTGTTGGCTGAGTCCTTGCCATTTTGGCTATTCTTCTATCCATTCGAATGGTAGTTTTTCGCTTTCTTCCACGTCTTTCAGGTTTTGGTTACCATTTTAAAGCATTTGCCATCATTTTAGCTGAGCAGTCTATCATTTTCTGCACTTCTTTATATGTTTTCCACTCTCCAATCCACTTTCTAATCAAGGTACGCTGTTCTTCTAAACAATGTCTGGAACGACCCATTTTCCTCAGAATTTCAAAGAGAAATGCACTGTAACCAGCATGTACAACATTTGCTGCCTTCCTTCCTTAAATAAGGGCAATAATTGCCACCTGTTTTTCAAAGAATGAATGACCTCACTAATAGAACTCCACACTGCTATTATTTTGAACATGCCCCTTTCAATGAGTGATTCAATTACACAGAATCAGCAGCATGCATGTCATGACTGTTGGGTCTGTTGGATTTCTATTACTCTACTACACCTGCTAGTAAATAATTTGCCATGTAGAAATATCATTTCTACCAAAAACAGTGATTGATCCGGTTAGTGATGTCTGACTGCTATTATTTTGAACACAACTGTACATCTCTGCATGAAGTTGCACAGATGTCTTCCAAGTCGCACTTGCATCCCACTTTGAAACTGCGAATTCAAGTGAAGTCACACGATTTCAAAGTCAGATTCGGTGTGACCAAAGAGTAAAACAATAAATATTAGGAATTTACCATTGTTCAAAAACAAATTCATATAGCAGCCATTAGGAAAGTCTCTAGCAGTAGTAAAATGGCAATACTCCTTCTAGTGGGCAAGAAAAATGATAACATCATTTTATGGGTTTATTCAGAAAAGCAGAATAAATATTAACAATCAGATAAAAAAATACATAAAATATATAATATGCAATAGAAATAAACTTAGGAGTCCCTATATAAAAGTAACAAGCAGTTTTAACATGATAAATAACATATTTTAAAATTAAATAGGAAGCAATTTAATTCCAATAGCCCCTTGGTTGCATACAATCAATTTTGTAAATAAACCTTGCTTCTTAGCAGGAAATTTCCTGTCATATTAGACCCCCTCCAAGGAAGGAGGGTTAAAGAAATTTCCTGTAAAAAACAATGTGGATTTACAAACTTGATTAAAGCTGGTTAAAGGTACCTGTTACTTTTATATAAGGACTCCTAAGTTTATTAAGTTTTACTGCATATCATATTTGTTTTATAATTTTATGTACTTGTATCTCATTTTTAATATTTATTCTGCTTTTCTGTATAATCCCATAACATTTTATAATTTTTATCAGCCACTAGATGGAGTATTGCCATTTTACTAGTATTAGAGACTTTCCTAATACTGTAGTTTCTTTTTATTTTTTACAGGTTCTTATTGTATATAGCGCCATCACTTTACGCAGTTTTTTACATATACCGTATTTTTTTGCTCCATAAGACGCACCTGACCATAAGACGCACCTAGGTTTTAAAGGCAGAAAACAGGAAAAAAAAAATATTCTGAACCAATGGACTGCAGACATAGTACAGGAGATGACCAGAGACTGCGGACACAGTACATGAGATGACCCGAGACTGCGGACATAGTACAGGAGATGACCAGAGACTGCGGACATAGTACAGGAGATGCCCAGAGACTGCGGACATAGTACAGGAGATGCCCAGAGACTGCGGACATAGTACAGGAGATGACCAGAGACTGCAGACATGGTACAGGAGATGCCCAGAGACTGCGGACATAGTACAGGAGATGGCCAGAGACTGCGGACACAGTACAGGGGATGACCAGAGACTGCGGACACAGTACAGGGGATGACCAGAGACTGTGGACACGGTACAGGAGATGACCAGAGACTGCGGACACAGTACATGAGATGACCAGAGACTGCGGACATAGTACAGGAGATGACCAGAGACTGCGGACACAGTATGGGAGATGACCAGAGACTGCAGACACAGTACATGAGATGACCATAGACTGCGGACACAGTACAGGAGATGACCAGAGACTGCGGACACAGTACATGAGATGACCAGAGACTGCGGACATAGTACAGGAGATGACCAGAGACTGCGGACACAGTATGGGAGATGACCAGAGACTGCAGACACAGTACATGAGATGACCAGAGACTGCGGACATAGTACAGGGATGACCAGAGACTGCGGACACAGTACAGGAGATGACCAGAGACTGCGGACATAGTACAGGGATGACCAGAGACTGCGGACACAGTACACGGGATGACCATAGACTGCGGACACAGTACAGGAGATGACCAGAGACTGCGGACACAGTACATGAGATGACCAGAGACTGCGGACATAGTACAGGAGATGACCAGAGACTGCGGACACAGTATGGGAGATGACCAGAGACTGCAGACACAGTACATGAGATGACCAGAGACTGCGGACATAGTACAGGGATGACCAGAGACTGCGGACACAGTACAGGAGATGACCAGAGACTGCGGACATAGTACAGGGATGACCAGAGACTGCGGACAGTACAGGAGATGACCAGAAACTGCCGACACAGTACAGGGATGACCAGAGACTGTGGACAGTACAGGAGATGACTGCTGACCTTTGGGGAGGGGGGGGAGCGGGTACCTGAATTTGACAGGTACCCGCTCTTACTTCTGCGGAGTTGTTCTTTAGTTAGTGTCTGCTTTGCAGCGGGACCGTACCTGTTCCTCTATCCAGCGCCGCACTGTCTTTCCGGCTTCTGTAGTGTCGGCGCTCGGCTTGACAGCCGGGTGCCCAGTGCGCATGAGCGAGAATCGCTGCGCTTTGTGATTGGTCTGGTGGCTTCTGGGACCTGTCATGTGTCCCAGGTACCGCCTTACCATTCACAAAGAGCACCGCCTCTTATGCACTTGGCACCCGGCTGTAAAGCCGAGCACCCACACTACAGAACCTGGGAAGACAGCACTCGGCTTGATAGAGGAACAGGTAAAGTCCCGCTGCAGAGCTGAGCGGCCGGCCCGGTATTCTGACACGGCGGCGGTGGAAAAATACTGGACTGGCCGCTCCATATTCGCTCCATAAGACGCACTGACATTTTTCCCCCTTTTTTTGGGGGAAAAATGTGCATCTTATGGAGCGAAAAATACGGTATATATTGTACATTCACATCAGTCCCTAACCCTCAAGGGGTGTACAATCTAAGGTCCCTAACTCACATTCATACACACACTAGGACCAATTTAGACAGGAGCCAATTAACCTACCAGCATGTCTTTGGAGTGTGGGAGGAAACCAGAGTACCCGGAGGAAACCCACACAGGCACACAGAGAACATGCAAACTCCAGGTAGGTGGTGCTGAGGTTGGGATTTGAACCAAACAACTCTAGTACTGCCAGGCAGAAGGGCTAACTATTTAGCCACCGTGCTGCCCCCACAGTCTATATGAATTTGTTTTTTGAACAATGATAAATTCTTAATATTTATGGTTTTAGAGATCTTTTATTGAAGGGATTTATTTAATCCTGATTCAGGGTAGTTGGTAGGTGTGAGATGTGTGGGCACCAAGTAAGGGTAATTAGTTAATTAATAATAAGTGTTCTGTCTCTCCAATCTAAGCATTGATAGGGTGATCTCTGTAACTTACAGTTGTGATGAGATAGCGATAACTTCAATCTCAGTTGGATACCACAGGCAGTGACTCAATCGATAAGACATCTTGTAGATTTTGTGAAGTTTATTCCATAAACTGAGGGAATCTTACAACAGTGAACATTCGATAGGTCAAAAGATCATGATGTTTCCTGCTCCATGACATGAGGCTAGAGCTGCAATGCATTTCTGGGAAAGGGGGAAGGCTATCTATACAGTATTAACTAAACCAAAGGAAAGGGAGGAGCAGAAACAAAATATAGAAACACTTAAAGGCATATGACAGTCATGTGAAACATGACAATAAGGTGAAAGTTATAAGTATTTTGGATAGGCTCCTAGCAGTCGGTCCAGGGATTTTAAAGCCCAACTGTTCTCTCTCTTCTCCGTTAGCGCAAAAAGGATGGACAAGATGGATTTGGATTGGTCAGCACACTTTGATGGCACAGACCAATCAGAATCCATCAGGTCTATCCTGGAAGCGGTAACAGAGAAGAGCGGGGATTTCAAATTCTGCAGCAGTGCTTCCAGTTCGGCAACCCCAGAGGTAAGTACAGCAGGGACCGGGAGGGTAGAGTGTCCGGTGTTGGTTCACCTTTACATTTTTTCTGTAAAGGTGAACTAACTCTATAAGTTATAGGAGGTCATATCTTCCCCCTCAGGGGTTAATACTCCTTAGATATCTGCAACTGCTCATCCTAGTGCTTACTGCCATATTTTATAAATGTGATTCTAAACTTCCCCCCAAAAAACATTTTTCAACCTTCCTAATTAAATGTAATATCTGTGCCCTTTGTTTTCAGAGAGGTCCTGGTGATCCTGCCATCCCTAGAGCTTCCTCCTTGGTGGCACCAATTTACAGGCTCATAGAGCCTCTGCAGTATTGCCACCACAGTGGGCATGCCTCCTATTTATCCCAGTATGTAAGCTGGGTATTGCTATACAAGGCCTACTTTGTAGGTCATGTGATAGATGTTTTCTGTGTGTCCTAGTACTGACTGGCATTCTTCCAGTGTGAAAAAAATGGTAGTCACAACACTATGTGTGAAATGGCCCTTAGACTTCTAATATGGTACCAATCCAGGACAATTGATTTGGGAACGAATGAAAAAGGGAGATCCAGTGTTCTACTTTATATTATTGGGCTGCATTCACATCTCCGCTTCGAGTGAACATACATTTTTCACAGTGCACACGTAGGGCAGCCTAATAGTTTGAATGGACTGCCCTACATGCAAAAAAACACACCAAAGAAGATCTTGAACCTTTTTGGGCATTTAGCTTTGAAAGTTTTAACACGCACAAAAAATGTGCGTTTGCTGGCCGTGTTTGCTGTTCCATTAACAATAAATGGCACCACAAGCACAACATGAGTTTTTTTTGCACGTGAAAAAGTGTGCTTTAGGGGTGGAATCTGCTCTACACTTAGATAGATAGATAGATAGATAGATAGATAGATAGATGATAGATAGATAGATAGAAGATGGATAGACAGACAGACAGAGAGAGAGAGAGAGAGAGAGAGAGAGAGAGAGAGAGAGAGAGAGAGAGAGAGATAGAGAGTTATAGATAGATAGAGATAGATAGATAGATAGATAGATAGAGAGATAGATAGATAGATAGATAGATAGATAGATAGATAGATAGATAGATAGGTAGATAGATAGATTGGATTCATAAGGCAGATATTATCCAGAATTGAGCAGGAAACTGTCCGGTTACCATGACTCATAACATAAATGAAATTAAGATCGTAAACCAGCCTAATGTATAATGCAATTAGTCTCTGACTGTTATCTATGGCTGCCAGTGTACTTATCATTAAATTACTATCCACCTGCCAGTGACGTATCACAGCTGAAAAATGACTTTCTTCTTTATTAAAGGGGAATTTATTGCATAGTTTCAGAAAAAAATTAATTTTGCATGGTTAAAGCAATATTTGCCTGGCAGTATTTTAAAAGGGTCTTTATATTTTGTTTCTCCCCCTCCCTCTCTCCCCCCCTCCCTCTCTCTCTCCCTCCTCTCTCTCTCCCCCCCCTCCCTCTCTCCCCCTCTCTCATTCCCCCCCTCCCTCTCTCCCCCTCTCTCATTCCCCCCTCCCTCTCTCCCCCTCTCCCCCTCCCTCTCTCTCCCCTCCCCTCTCTCCCCCCTCTCTCTTTCCCCCCTCTCTCCTCCCCCTTCTCTCTCTCCCCCCCCTCTCTCTCCCCTCCCCCGCTCTCTCTTTCTCCTCCCCTACCTCTCTCTTTTTACTCCCCTCCCTCTCCTCCCCTCCCCTCCCGCTCTCTCTCTCCTCCCCTCTCCCCCCTCTCTCTCCCCTCCCTCTCACCCCCCTCCCTCTCTCCTTCTCCCCCTCCCCCTTCCCCCCCCCCTCTCTCTTTCTCCCCCCTCCCTCTCGCTTTCTTCCCCTCTCCCCTTCCCCCCTCTCTCTTCCCTCTTCTTCTTTCTCTCTCCCCCCCCCCTCTCTCTTCCCTCTTCTTCTTTCTCTCTTCCCCCCCTCTCTTCCCCCTCTCTCCCCCCCTCTTCCCTCTCTTTTTCTCCCTCTCTCGCTTTCTCCCCCCCCTTCTTCACCCCTCTCTCTCTCTTTCCTCCCGCTCTCTTCCCTTTCTTTCCCCCCCCCCCCCCCTCTCCCTCAGATCCTATGGGACCCACACACCCCCCCTCCCCCTCTCCAAGGGCTGCTGATCTCCATGCAGGAGGAAGGGGGGGGGAGGTGTGTGCAGTCCCATACGATCTGTCAGTGATCAGTGTCAGTGTAATCTGCTAGATGGATGACAGGAGGGAGAGTCCACAGAAGACAACACAGCTCACCTCTTCCGGGCTCTTTCATCGCTTCTCTCCCTGCTCCAGGCATTCCCCTGGTTCTGGCTTGTCAGCTGCTGGAGGGAGAGGTGCACGATCGTCGCTCTGCAACTGCCCTCGCCCACATCGATCCTCTTGCTGTCTGCTGCTGCTCAAAGGGTCCCTTCTTCGGGGGAATGCGGTGACGCTCCCCTAAAAACTGCCGCCCTAGGCAAACGCCTTGTTTGCCTCGTGGTGGATACGCCCCCTGCCTCCGTCCCGCTTTCCTCCATATTTGTCCCTCATTTTGGTCTGATCTATATACACTGCTCAAAAAAATTAAAGGAACACTTCAGATCTCAATGGGGAAAAATCTCCTGCTGGATATCTATACTGACATGGACTGGGTATTGTGTGAGGAACGTAAAGATGCCCCATTGTTTCATGGAAATGAAAATGATCGACCTACAGAGGACTGAATTCAAAGA